GATGGAGGCTGAAAACAGGAGAATCAATATGAGTCCTACCTTGTTGTGTCCAGTTGTGTGAAAGCCTTCCATGATAAGGAAGAGAGGAAAAAGGGAATGCAATGAGACAATAGGCAATTCCAAGCGTTGTTCATCCTTCTAGATCCTTTTCTGCTCCCTCTCTTCCCTATGGAAACAAAATGAAATTGGACTTTGACCTCCTGGAGCCAACAGCTGAATATTCTGCCCACTTCTCTGGGCTGAGGAGAGGAAGGGAAGAGGGTGTAGCAATTATGCCACCTTACCTACTGAAGTTTTGAGACATGCCTTAACCTTAAATGAAAATATTCTGACCTTTAAAATTCTTTCCAAGGGGCCAGGGAGATGGCTCAGTAGAATAAGCGCTTCTCTGGCAAGCACAAGGGCCTGAATTCAATCCCCGGTTCTGCCAAAAAAATTTTTTTAAAAAAATTCTTTTTCAAGCTCAGTGGACTAAAGCACCTGCTTAGGCAAAGCACAGCAGCCAGAATTCTTATCCCCAGTATGCCATGTCAGCCCCACCCCCGGGGTACACTGAGAGGGCGATTGAGACTGGATGTGGTGCCACACCTGTAATCCCAACACTTGGGAGGCTGAAAACAGGAGAATCACTATGAGTCTGATCTATGTAGTGAGACCCTGTAGACCCTATAGATCCTGTACCAAATGCAAAAAATAAAATTCTTTTTCAACCAGGCATGGTGACACACACCTATAATCACAGCATTCAGAATGCTGAGGCAGGAGGATCGCAATGAGCCTGGGCTACATAAGTAAGTTCAAAGCCAACCTGAACCATATAGCAAGGACCTAACTCAATAAATAAATAAATAAATAAATAAATAAATGAATTTACTCTTTTCCTGCTTATTACAACAGGACTTAGTTGAAAAAGTAAATTACAGAGACCTTATTGTTTTTGGTTTTTTGTTTTTCTGCAGAGCCAGGAATTAAACTCAGGCCCTTGCACTTGCCAGGCAAGCACTTATTCTACTGAGCTATCTCCCCAGCCCCTGAGCCCTTATTCTTAATGAAGATACTGGGACCCTGGTGCCTCTCTCTCTCTCTCTTTCCCTCCCCTCTTCCTCCTCTTCTTCCCTCCCTCCTCTTCCCTCCCATCCTCCCCCTCTCCCCCATCTTTCATGTCATTAGTCAGCAGTTTTCCTCTGCCACACCTTTCTGCCCATGACATTTCTGCCTTGACAGAGCTAAGACCAATGGAGCCACCCAACTTGTGAAGTGAATCTAATTGTGAACCAAAAAATTATTTTCTCCTTTAAGTTGATTTTGTCAGGTATTTTGTCAGAGGGATGAAAAACTAACTCAATATATGAGTATAGAAATATATACATATATATATAGTATACACATGCTAATCAGCCCAGGAAATGTTTTGCAACATCATGTTAGAGAATAATATCCCCCAAAGTCTCAAAACCAGTATCAGCAAGGCAGAGCTACTTCCTTAGTTGTATCTGACCAGAGAGGTTTCCCTTCAAGTATAGCAAAGCCTAGGCCCCAGTATCATGACTTGCTGCAGCCTAACAGGAAACGTTGTTGCAGCTGATAGGACATAAATTGTGGCCACTGTAAAAGGGACTCCTGTAGCAACAAGATAGACAACAGAATGGCGGCACCAGCCAGGTATATCCATGACAGGGCAGAGTGCCTAAGTGTGTGGCTCAGAAGCCAGGCTGGTGTGGCACTGTGTCTCCTTCCACTGCCCACTCAAGGCTCTTGAGCAAGTTAACTTTATCATCCTCAGTTGAAAAATGAAGATAAGACTGACTCACAGGATTGTTACTCAAATTAAGTAAAAAATTTGGTATATGGAGGGACATTTTAACAAGAAGGCTAAAAGCGTTAACCCAGGACCAGCCAAACTCGCACAGTATGCTCACTGGCAATTCTTCACTGTTAGGACTTCGAACTTCAAGTCACTTTACCTCTCTGTGAAGTGAACATACTATGCTACCAATCTCCTGGTGACATAATCATATCAGCCAGAGCCACAGTGGGATGAGGAGGAAGCAGAAAGCTGAGCCCTTACTTACTACTCATTAAAAGCTTCCTTCCTAGGGGATGGGGAGACAGCTCAGTGGAACAAGCGCTTCTCTGGCAAGCTCAAAGGCCTGAGTTCAATCCCCGGTTCTGCCAAATTAAAAAAAAAAAAAAAAAGCTTCCTTTGTGTTTTCTTCTGGGATAGGCAAGAATTTAAGCCATTTTTACCATGACCCATGACTGTTCACTTGGGCCTACAAATGCCCAGTAGGCAACTCAAAGCAGGACAAATATATAAGCCCAACTACACACTTAGGAAATCAGAATCCCCAAAGTCAGGGCTCAGGCATATGCTCAGTGATAGAATTCCCAGGCAACTCTAACACAGAGCAAAACCAAAAAAACCACTGATAGCCACCTGAATTATCTTATGTGCCTTCTATGGCATGGGATCAGAATAAAAGAATTTGTTGAGGGCTCACCCATGACAGGTGACTTCTAAGTATAACTTTGCTTATTCTTAACAACACTATTCACATTATTATTTTCATTTTAGAGACAAAAAAATCTGTTACAAAGCCAGGTATGGTGGTGCATGCCTGTAACCCCAGTACTCGGAGGCTGAGGCAGGAGGATTGTTGGGAGTTCAAGACCAGCCTGGCATACAAAGTGAGCTCGTGGCCAGCCTGAGCTGCATAGCGAGACCCTGTCTTAAAAAAAAAAAAAAAAGTCATGCCTTGAGGGAGAAAGAAAGAAAAAAAAAAAAAAAAAAGAATCTGTTCCAGTGTATTCCAGTGTAGTTCTGGAATATCACCAAAAGGTCCATGTGGTGATGGCTTGGTCCCCAGTGTGGCTTTATTGAGAAGTGAGGTCTAGTGGAAGGTCATCTGTCATTGAGGGTGGACTCCTGAAGGAGATGTTGGGACCCTGACCACTTCCTCTTCTTTCTTTTTCAAATGCTGACCAACGAGATAAACAGTCACCTGTGTCCTAAGCGCCCCACCACTATGCAATGCTTCGCTACAGGCCCCAAAGGAATGGGGCTGCTATCAGCCATGGACGAAAACTCCCAACAGTGAGCCAGCATAAACCTTCTCCCTGTGTAAGTTGATGGGCTCGAGTGTTTGTTTCAAAGAGGGAATGCTGACTAACCCAGAGGCTGGTACTTGAAGATGTTGTGAAAGCAGTAAGTTACACACCGAGGATGTGAACCGGATCGGGGGACACAGGCACCAGAACTGCTGCATTCTTGAGTGTCTCACAGGACTTCTCCCGCAGACATCTGTGTGCACCCTCCCTTGAAACTTATCACAGCTCGGACTAAGGAACAAATGTGGTATCAAAATATTGTCTCCTCCCACCCCCTTTCCTTTCTAGTGACTTCTACATTTTATCTTCCCCTTGCCCTGAAACTAGGCTAAAACTACTGACGGCTTAGTCTTGTGCCTCATTTTTTTAAAGCACAGCAAAATTGTTTGTAACTTTCACCTTGCACTATTCTCTACAGCTTCTCCTCATGGACCCTGCATGGTTTGAAACTATTAAAAGCAGAACACAAAAGAAAACCTGAACTATTAAAAACTTGTTTTCATGTACCCTGAGACTGCTGGGGACTGCCTGCATCAGGCCTCACACAAAGTCCCAAGGAAATGATGTTGCTTTGTTTGACTTTTTAGAACATCAACCAGCAAGCGCTGAGAAGCCATTTATTTCAGTTTAAGTAAGTTCCTCATTCTACTTTTGGAAGCTATTCTCTGTGGTAGAATTTTAGCCACCATATATGTGTATGGGTCTCTGTGTGTTGACAAGAGAAACTTAACATCTGTTCTTAAATCGGAACTGAATTTTTCACATATGTATAAAATTCTCACTTCTTATGTATCCTATTTTCCCCCCGACAAAAAGTGCTAGATTTTTCAGATGGATGCTTCACTTTTTCTTATTGCCAGTCACACAATGCAAGGAGAAGGTGACCTCCTTTGTACACTTTCTTCATTCCTCCACCATTGATTATTAGACAACCTGTTTTCTTCCTATTCTTAACTGGCACCCTGAATAAAAGCTGAACACCTTCTTTTTCTGGCTTCAGATGCTCTTCAAGAAGAACTGAATCATCCGCATCACTGAGCATCATGTCTGCAACCCAGGGCTCAGGCCCATGCGGATTGGCCTATTGCTACGCCTTATGGGGCCTGTGCTTGCTTTCTAAGCCAGAGAGTTCACATATAACATCCATATAACATCCGTATCTCTAAAGACCAACCTTGTCAAGGAACACATTCTCCCCACCAGGAATTATTACACATTAGGAAGTGTTGATTACTCTGTGTGTGTGTGTGTGTGTGTGTGTGTGTGTGTGTGTGTGTGTGTGAGAAACTGAAAAACGAGGACCTTCACACTGAATTACATCCCAGCCCTATTTTATTTTTTATTTTGAGAAACGAAGATGCTAAATTGCCCAAGAGGGGCTGGAATTTGTAATCCTCCTGCCTCAGCCTCTCAGTGCTGGTTATAGGTGGACACACCATGCCTAGCTTGGTAATGGTTTGAATGTCACTGTGTACAAAGAATAGTTCTGTGCCACAAGTCCTGGGGCCTCAGTCACCCAGCTGCAGTGGTGCTAAGCTGTGCATGTTCTATCCAGCTTCCCAAAGAAGCTCTTTGCCAGGAAACTTTCCCCCTTAATAGAAATAGTTCTCTGCATCCCAAACGGATGCTTTGCTTGCCTGAACACTGAAATCAAGTCAGTGTATATTTAAAATCAGTGATAGAGGTTGTCCATTTTTTTCCTGTTCTTTACACTTTATCTTTAATTTTAGAACGTTTTATTTTATTTCATAAATAAAATTTTATTTAAAAAAAATCATAAAGCCATTGAAATGATTTGAGAGATGAAAGACAGTGTTATTACTCAGTAAATGAAATTGAGTCATACAAAAGGAGAGTCATTAATGACAAGAAAAACAGTCATTGCGCTAAAAGGCACTAAAAGAAGTCATATTTATTTGAGAACACAAGGTTGACCCCATATTTTAATAAATATTTTACATTGACTGTAGAAAAATATTGTGTGTATTCTATAAAGCCAGTGTGCTGAACTATTACAGAAAAAGGTAGTCTTTACCTTTAGGTCATTGACAAAATAAGCTGGGATTAGGGGCAACCTTAGGAGTAGTACAGGGGAAAGAAGGGAGGGCAGGACAGGAGGCAACAAAAGCAGGGAGAAATTTCTACTTGCCTTTTCTTAATGGAGCCACAAAATTAAAAATCTAGAGTTAGAAAAACATACCTTCACACACACTCTCAATTTTACAGATACTCTCATTCTGGCTTTTGTAAACATCACTAGTTGGTGGCCAGGATGGAAAACTGGAAGTTTGTTTCCATTTTGACCTAAGACAGGACACTCTATTTCTGAGGCCTGGAATGAATGAGGTCTGCTACTGCTGGTGCTTTAAACTCAGATACAACCACAGGATCATGACCTGGAGCATTGATTGTGACAATGTTAACAGTGGCCACCATAAGCTCTGTAAATCTGAGTCCTTTCAGTGTTGATGCTTATAAGCCAATCACCTAATTCTGGGATTCGAGCTGTTTCAGGGCTTGGAAAGAACCTTTGATCCTCCTGGCTCCCTGAGGTCATTCTCTCAAAATAAAAAGTAATAGAAGGTATAATGCTGAAAAGCACCACTGTTCTCAGGAAGTCACTGTGCAGGGTAGTGGATTAGGAAGACCGTGTCCTCCTCGTTTCCTTATAGGACCCATGGCCAATAACAAACACAAGGCGTCTGAACAGAACAGAAAAGGCTTACGCCGGGCCTCCTGGTACAGACTGGCAACAGCTTCAAGGGAGGTGCTGTCTCAGGTTGTGGCACATCTGAGGTCAGCTAAAGGCCAAGACTTAGTCAAGGGAGGACTCCAGCAGGGTGATGAGAGACATTCTCACTTGCATAGGTGTTAGGGTCATGGGGTACTTGGGTGTTCGGCTAGGTAGGACCTCCTTTGCTTTCCAGAAGAGGCCTCAAGTCCTACAAAGGCTAAGCAGCCTATGTGGACCACACAACTTGTTATAAGGGACACAAAGAGGCAGAAAGGCTGCAGTGAGCGGGGCAGTGCACATGGACACTATGCCACGCGGTTAGCTATGTGCTGGGGAGGCCTCCCACCCTGGGGTCTTCAGGATGAGTCATTACGGAAGTGGACAAGCTCTGGGCTGAGCTGATCCACAGGCTTCCTGAGGCGGGGACAAGGACCTGCACGTCTGTCCTCACTTCCCAGTCCGTGACGCCACCTGGATGGCTTTGATCCACTCAATGCGCTCCTTGGGGTTGGCTGCTTGCAAGAAGTAATGAACTTCATCAGCTGTGATGATCTCAAAAAGGTTCTCCTCATCACTCTTCTTGCCTGGTGAGGGAGAAAGGATGTGGTGGTCAGCTGACCTGCCTCCTTCTGCATGAAGTGCCCAGGCCTTGTTATCTTGTCTTTTTGGTGCCCTAAGGTCCCAAATGTGGTTTCCAAACATACAAACATTGTATAATTTTGTATATTCATTGCACAAATATATATGTGATATTTGTATAGGTGGGGACTTAGCGTGGCCATATGTACATTTTTAAGACATAAGTAAAATGCCCAAAGAGAAATGTTTTCTTTTATAGTTTATAATTAAGTTACTCCGCTTTGCCCACCAATAGTATGTAATGAGTAACTTCTAATAATGCTGATGAGTACATTTCTTCTGCTCATAACATAAACCAAGCGTTGACCCTAATTTATATATATTTATACATATTTATTTATAAAATGAACATATATATGTATATATATCTTGAATATGGCAAGAAGGTCTCAAGTGTGAGCCCAGTCTGGGCAACTTTGTAAGACTCTGTCTCAAAATTAATAAATAAATAATAGATTGGCTGGCTTGGTTAAAAATCCTTGGGTTCTATCTCTAGTACCACAGAAAAACAAAACAATAAACAGACCTTTTATTGCTACCACAACTATAGTCTAAACTGGTTTTGGTCAATGGCCAACTTAGAGCTCTCACTGAAAGATTAAAAGTCAATAAACTAACCAGTACTGTAATGAGACTTAAAGTCTCAAATGCAAAACTTCCTACTTCAAAACTAAAACATCATTCAAGGAGGCAGGGCTGGAAGACCCAGGTAGTGAAATACTGGCCCTTTGAAGCTACAGTTTCCTTTTCTTCTACCTTTACAACGCCATAAACCCAAAATGGCAAAATAGAACCAGAGATTGTGCTGTCATAATCATGTGTCCTAGTTATTCTACCTGTCTGGGGAAATCCATCTGCAGCCACATGGCTATTCTGTACTTAGTCATAAGCTCATAACCTGGAAAGAACTGTATCTCATCTATGTATTCCCTCATCTTCAGGGGGCCTCAAGGGGTGAGCTGGATTACTAGACAAACTGGGCAACAGACCAAGTGCCACAGACCTAGCCAGGACCGGAGTGCTCCTTCTACTCACCACACCGCCTCACTGCACAAATGCTCCTCCTATTGGGAGGGACTTCCTAGTAAGTAGATCTCCTTTCAGAATGCCAGGGCATCAGGAGCTAACAACCTTTCCATCTAAGCCAGTTTTGAGAGAATAGATTTTCTCAGCATCGCTTAAGGACTTACTGGCTTCCACGAAGCCACTCTAATTTCTCAAAGTCTAGAGAGCAATGGCTGCTCTTAGTGTAGAATTCAAGGAACTCTTCCTCTCTGCAAGGTTTTCAGCCAGAACTATGCATGCAGGGCTATCCCTGGCTGACGGGTTGATGTCAGTTCAGTATGTACAGGTGTGGAGAGGGAGGCTAAGTAGACACTCTTCCCTCCCATAGAAGTTCATTCTTACCCTCTGGGCTGCTCTCCACTGAAGTCACCACACACCCTCGCAAGTGTACTGCTCCCAGGGGATCTTCCCCCTAGAGGAGAAAGATGTTGTTGGTTATGTGTCCAAAGTGCAGTGTATGAATATATCTTATTTTGTTGGTACAAAAGTATGTATCAGATTCTCTCTGATACATATCATGTTCCCCAATAAATAAGAGCGGAAGGAGCTTAAAGGAAATCTATTCCAGATCTCCACTCCACTTCAGGGAGATCAGGAAGGCTTCATGAGAGCATACAAGTCAATCTGAACTTCCAGGCTGGAGGAATATGGAGGGGAAGTAGAGACTGACTTCTCCACATTCCATTAGGGAAGAGCAGCCTGTTTCTAGCATGTAGCATCAGAAAATAGCCTTCCTAGGAGCAAATCAAAGAGCCCTGAACTGTAAGCAAAAACCAAATACCCAACCCTGAAAAAGCTGTCTTTATGCTTCAGAGTTGGCTCCTTTTATGGAATAAAAAGTCCTCTTCAACTATCAACACTGCAAATTGATGGACTACTTCAACAATGCATTCAAAGAAGTTAATCTGGAAGAGGAATTATCACTTATTTGCATATTATAAACTATGACTAGCATGTTGGACTGATTGTATTCCCCTAAAAATATCAGGTTGGGGAAAATAAGAAAAATTGTGCTGAGTTAATCAAACAAAGAATAATCTAGTGATATTTTCTTCCATTCCTGAGCTGGTACTAGCCTCAAAGGCCTAAGAAGACAGATCTTTGCACTGAATAGTGATAGAAAAATGTAAAGAAGGGTGGGACAGAAAGGAACAGGGGTGGGGGAGAGGAGAAGATGGAAATAACAGCAGAGCTGATGCATACCTCATAAATGCAGAAGAGGCTTCTGTTTGAATGGATTTAATCAGCAAAGAATATCACTCACCCCTGCAGGGTCATAGTAGTGTAGGTAGGCAGGGTCTTCTCTCAGAATGAACTTTCTCACTTTCCAGTTTTTCCTCCTGTGCCCCTGTATCCAGGAACAACATAAAACAAAGATGATGAGTTCCAAGAATCACTGACAAGTCTTTGCTGAATTGAAAAAAGAAAGAAAGAAAGAAAAAACATCAATTTCAGGAGAATCGGGCCCTGACCCAAGTCTTTCTTAGGAACATAGCACTGAAGCCAATTAATATGTTCCACATTATAGTATTAAATGAAATAGATGAATTATTTCCATGCCTCTCTTGCAGCTTCAATATTATGCAAGACAATGTTTTCATGCACTGGGACTGTGCTCCATTAGGCAAGGGGAGGGCTTAAAGAGGCTTCAAATGTGATCATACAATGTGAGGAATCTGTGTCCTATGTGGAAATATAAAATAGCAAAGCTCAAATCTAATAATTGTTTTCACAGTAATTAAATAAAGGATATGTAGTTGTGGATTTTGGCTATCAGACAAAGTCTCATAAAGACCTAGGCTGACTTATCCATGTGGGACACAGGATTCAGATGGGTGAAGACTATGACAATGCAAAAGCAGTGTTACAGATGCCCCAGCCTTGAGGAAACACTGGTAAATAGGGCTAGTCTGATAGAATGGAGGCTGCCTGAGAAGCCGCAGAGGCAAAGCTGGAGAAGCAGACAGGGCTTGCAAACAAGAGAGGAAAGGCAGGGATGACTGCTGATGGATTCTGAGTAGAAAGTGAGATTAAAATTTGGGGGGTTTGTGGGGGGTACAAGGTACAATTTGATTTTAGATAATGATTTTAATACCATTTTATGATGACAAGGTACAAAACACACCAGGTGCATAAATTAAAGAAGCATCAGGAAGAAGACAGTAGGTAAAGCAGAGGCCATTAAGAAACAATTACAGTGGTCTAGGCATAAATTTACTAGGAATTAACTTTAGGTAGCAGCAGCAGAAATGAAAATAAATTTGGCTGTAACAGATGAGGTGAAAATAGGAGAGTAGAACTTGGCTTTTCTCAGTAATTACTACTACGAGTCAGCAATCTACAATTGAGTGTTAAGGGCAACATTTACCACCAGTTCATCTTTGTCCTCTAGTACCCCGCATCGTACCTGGTACTTGGAAGCTGCTGTACTCTATCTGTCAGCGATCGCTATGAATTATCAAGTTATTTCAATTAGCTTATAGCGGGTTTAAAAATGTCATAGTAAACATGACTCTCCAGTTTCCCATAGAAAATTGGAATAATTTTAATAATATCAGAAATCAAAGAAAGTATTAAAACTTTCTTTGGAAATGAGTTTTTTCACAAATGCTTTGCCAAGAAACTTGTGCCCTTCTCAAATGCTCTCTTTAAATTCCTCTGACTTTGTTTAATGAAGGAAGCTCTGTTTCTTTTTCTCGTTTTATTTTTAAAGAATACAAAATAGAGATATAAAGGAAAGACAGAGAAATGATACAAGATTTCCCTAAACAAAGTAATAAAAATTCAACAATTGTTGCCATATTACATGATGCTATCTCAGAATTAGTTGTTCATGTTACCAGATATAAATGTGTAAGATTCACTAAAAAAAAAGAAAAGAGGGCTGGCAAGATAGCTCAGCAGACTAAAGTGCCTGCTTAGGCAAGCACAGGGACTTCAGGTCGATCCCCAGCACCGCATGCTGCACCCCGAGGGCAGGCTGAGCAGGCCAGTCTGGGCATGGTAGCTCGCACCTGTAATCCTAGCACTGGGAGGCTGAAAGCAGGAGGATCACCAGGAGTCCAACCTGCATAGTGAGACCCTGCAACAACCAATCCATTTTAAAAAAAGAAAGAAAACAATAACAAATAAGTTATAATAAATTCAAAAAAGGAAAGAAATCAGAGTAGAAAAAAAAACTTTTAAGCATTAACTGCTCCTTTCAAAAGACGAGCAGAAATTGACAATACAATTATCCAAACTATTCTACATATATACCCAAATATATCTTTTTACCTTCTAACATCTATCCTCTTCCTCCTCCCAGTTTTTCCTTCCCACTGAACAATTTCTTTCTCTTTTACAGTATCTGTTTTACCTCTGTTTCTTAAAAAACCACACCTGATTCATTGTTTTCTAAGTAAGCAGAACAAAAAAAGAGAAGAATTCATCTACATGTCAACATGTGGTACCTTGGAAATTACAAACAACATTCTTTGTACGGGCAAGATTGAAACTACATGTCATTTGGCAAAGCATTTGTCAAGAAACTCCATTTCCAAAGAACCTTTTACTTGCTGGAAGGATGGAGCCAGGAGCCCTGTAGTGTAACAGGGGAGGGCAGAAAATATTTCTATCTGTTTCGTCATGTACAAAAGCACATCTGCGATGCACACACTTATAAGTATAGATTCCTGCTCTCGGCTCAAGAGATAGAAACCGTAAGCTGCTGCCCCACTTTTCCTCTTCAGCTGCAGATGCACATGTGATGTGCTTGCACAATGGCTGGGTGACCCCTCACTTATCATGAGTCAGTGGAAGAGGAAGCTAACCGGAAAGATGAGAAATCACCTAACAACGGTCAGCTGCCATGTTGCCCTGAGGTTCTCGCTGACATCACAATATGGTATGCAGATGGGTGTGGCTGGTCATATTTCACTTAGTGTTTCCTGAAGGATTTTAAGGAATGTATGCATGCCTGGGTTTTCCAAGAATTGTTAAACACCTACCTACCTAAGTCTAATTTAATTTACAAGTGCTTATTGCCTATCCTGGTATAAAAAGTGTACTGAACTCTGCAGCTGAAACATGTAGCACATTCTCCTTTCCCTCAAGGAACCTACCTGTGGTTAAAATCAGATAACTAGTTAATTTGTTAATTCCCAGACAAAATTATATGAGAGGGATTATACAGAATATAATCCAAGGCCATCCATTACCAGACTTGCTCCATGTATCGAGTAGACTGTTTCCCCCTGAGATAGAAGTGAGGAGAATAGGAGAAGGGAAAATAGTTCCCCAGGTGGAAAGCTGTTTCCCCCATGAAGCATGGAACACAAGAGTCCTTTTTCACAATTAGCCTTTCTGTGCAAGTTGACCATGGTTTATGCTCAGCAGCAGGCTGTTAGGTAGTATACATTTTGTGGAATGTTAAAAAAAATTTTGGAGGGGCTCTGGCCAGATAGCTCAGTGGACTAAAGCACCTGCTTAGGCATATGCAGGAACCAGGGTTCGATTCCCCGTGTTCCATGCCAGCCCCACCTGCAGGGCACGCTGAGACAGTAGTTGAGACTGGGTGTGGTGGCATACATCTATAATCCCAGCACTTGAGAGGCTGAAAACAGGAGAATCACTATGAGTCCAATCTGTGTAGTAAGACCCTGCAGACCCTGTACTAAAATTTTTAAAAATTTTTTTAAAAGTTAATTCCTTCAAGTAAGTATGTACCAGGCTACTAACCATTGAGCTAGGAAGTCAGAAACACTAGGGAAATAGCAGTTCAGGTAGGTTTTTCTTTTCCTTCATACCATCCCCACTGTCCCTCCAAACGGAAGGCCACTCTGAAAACGAGATCCCTGCATACAGATTCTTAGCTTTTTATGTAAAAATGAAACCTTAAAGTGACTGGCAAATGGTTGTATTTTGAGACTAGAATAAATTAGCTTTTATGAAAAAAGACTAGCTCAGTATTTCTCAGCCTTGGCTGCGTATCAGAATCATTTGGGAAGTGCAAAAGCCAGACTCTGATTTAATTGGCCTGGAGTGCAATGTTAACAGCTCCACAGCACATCCAGGGTGCTCCAGCTGTCCTACCTCGATGTTCCAATTGCAGGCTGGGTACAGGAAGGCAGAAGAAAACATATGTATATGTTTACTTCTAGTTCTTGTTATGTCTAACACATACTCAGGAACACACTGGTTCAGCCAATTTTGGACCATTTGGGATCTCTACTAAGTTCTTTGCCCAGACACGATGTCAGTCCAGCCCAGAAGTTACCTACCTTTTATGGACTTTAATGCTTAGCTTTCTAAGAGGCCCTCCAGGTTAGGGCCTCCTGTGGGAATGTCTCTTGGTAGGAGAATACCTAGCCTAACACACACAAGGCCCTGGATTTGATTCCCAGTACTGCACCTAATTACTGGACGGTGACACTATAGAATCACAGAAGGAATCAATAAAATAAGGAGGTAACGGAATTCCTTCCCAAGTTACTCTTTTCTTAGCAACTACCTTCTAGCACCTGAAGTCAAAGAGCCAAGAGCGCTGGAATGTGCCAGAGCCAGCGAGGAAACCAACAACGCGCAAATGATCCAGGGCTCCCCGGTGAAGGGCAGCTCTGCTCCTATCCCTTTCCTCTAGTAGTCCATTGGTGACCCTGTCCTAAGAAGCTATTAGAATAGGCTGCGGACTCTTCCTAAACTCTCTATATATATATTACTTACGACCTCGTAATCCTAAAATTTGATGTTAAGGTCATTTGTTCACACTAAATTGCCCTTTCCCTGTAAAACTCAAAATCCATTCCAGTACTTAATCTCAACAAGCCTGCAGTCTCTTTAATTGAGTATAAATTACAGATTGGGTTCATCTCTCCTTGACCTACACTGATCGTGAGAATGAAAGTTAGGGACTTTCTAACGTGAAGAAATTCAAATCTCTCAGTCACATGGGGCTCATGCACAGTGCACAAAAGCCTCTTTACAGCCACCAAGCTCTCTGCTTTGTACGCTGTGCAGTGCTTTTAAGAGAGCTCACAGCTCTGCCAGGAAGGTGAGACTTCAGCCTTCTCAGGCGTCCTTGGCTTCGGTGACACCCTGTGCTAATACCAATTTATTTCACCTTGAATGTTCCCAGGCCTTCCTGCTGACACCTGGCCTTGGCCTCGTTGTTCCTCCACCCCTCACATTCTCTCGGTCCTTAGCCTTGGCACCCAGGAGCTAACATCAGCTCATCTAAGCCCTGGCCTCCCAGGCCAACAGGGCCCAGATGGTGGACCTGTAGATGCCCAGTAACTGCGCACACCTCCCCTCAGTACTGCATTCTTTGACTGCTGCTCCTGTGGAGCTGGCCCGAGCAGTATCCTGGCTTTTGGTCTCACCATCCCTTAGCCTCAGTCTAAAGGAGTACCTTCTTGCTCACAAAGGTATATGATGCTTCCTTCTGGCTACAGGTCTATTTCCTGGTCTCTTTGAAGGGAAGAGCGAAGGCTAAATGGCAGTATTTTACCATGAAACATCTTTATCTTGCCAATTTATTTCCTCTAGCCAATTAGAAGGACTTTATTTTCCTGTGCTTGATGAAAGACGTGTTTTTGCATTTCTAGGGGCATGTTCTGCCCTGCCTGTCTCAGTCTTCCTAACTTGATGCCACTGTCGTTGTCTACTTAGCTCTTGGTCTATCTTTTGCACTATGGGTTTCATTTTCTCTTTGCTTATTAGCCAAATAAATTAAATGTTGGGTAGCTTAGATTTAAAAATAAAAAGGCAGACCAAGTAAGGGGGAAGGCTAGATGAGAAAGGTGGTGGCCACTCACCTGCTTCAGCAAACATCCCTGTTTGATAATAATCCCCCTGAATTCTTCTCTTAGAATCACATCATCATCACTGGAATTCTCTTCACAGAAGAATCCACTGTCTGGCTATGGAGAGACCAAGCAGCAAGCTGGATTTACCAGTCCCAGGCCTGTTGCCACATGCACCCATTCCATCTCCCTCTCCCCTCCAGCCACAACCACAGGCTCCTCTTTTTCCTTCAGTCAGCAGTGCTCCTCTCCATCTGAACCCTCAAGGTTGTGCTGCATTAGCCAGCTTCCCCTCCTCTGTTTGCTTGCTCCTGGATCTTGCTCCTTTTTATTTCCACTCAGGGGTGAGTTTGTCCCTATTCTTTCATTTTCCGGGATGCCCCAAGCTATAGCCTAAGTCTAGCTTGATTTTTCTGAGTGCATTTCTGCCTTCCAAGCCTTTGTTCTCTCCTCTCAAGAGCTCACGGACACATCCTTGAGATGAGAGTGACTAAATACATAAGACACTACATAGTACTGTCTCCATTATGACCTTCGCCTCCTAGCTCCTTCTGCTCTGAGGAGACTGAGCACACATGTCCAGCTCAACCCTCGACATCAAGAGGGAACTAGGACTGGCACAGCTATAAGTGGGTGGTGAATTGTAAGAGGAAGGCAGTCACTCTAGTGAGTTAATAGCTAGATTTTAGAAAAACAGCCAGATTTAAATGGATTTAAGTAGCCAAATCAAAGGTCTAAAGAAAGGTCCAGCCAGATAGCTCAGTGAACTAAAGTGCCTGCCTAGGCAGACGCGGGGACTGGGAGTTCAATCCCCAGCCTTCTGTGCCTGCCTTACCCTCAGGGTGCATGGTGGCATGCGCCTGTAATCCCAGCACTTGGGAGGCTGAAAACAGGCAGATCACTGTGAGTCCAGTCTATGTAGTGAGACCCTGTAGCCCCTGTATCAAATACATTAAAAAAAAAATGTCTGAAGGAAAAAACACTGACAGTGGAACTTCCCCTAAAGTGAAATGAAACTCTGTCTGGTATATTCACTTCAGTTTTGCAAGTCAGATGGCCCTCAGTAGCTTCCTAACTTCTATATTCTAATCCAAAATAGAAACAATATTGCCCAAATCCTTCTGTTGCTGGAATTACACATAGCTCCAGATTAAGCCCATATGGGGTAAAGGCAGCATTTGCCAGTCTCCAGTGAGGGTGCCACCAGGGGTACCCAAGATGACTGTCGGCCGTGATAGGCACAAACTCACTCTGTATTGGAACATACTTAACGCACCTTTGAAAGGTCACACCTGTGATTTCTATGGATTGCCCTCTAGAAAAGAAACTCCACAAGGGGCCAGTGGGATAGCTCAACAGTCTAAAGCACCTGCTTAGGCAAGCTTAGGCAGGTGCAGGGGACTGCGGATCAATCCCTGACATCACATGCTGCACCAGCCCTGCCCTCAGGGTGGGCTGAACCTGCCAAAAACAAAAAAAGAAACTCCACAAGGGAGAGAATTTTTGCCTGCTCCCATCCCCCACTGCTTTATCTCCTTTGCCTGGCAAAGTCATGTACTTGTAGCCTAATAAAGGTTTATGAATGAATTATGCCTTAGAATAAAGATTGAAAATAGTAAAGTTTTAAAACCAATTTTAAAAAAGCAATCCCAACAAACAATTGTTTTCTTTCTCCTGACTCTTGTGGGCAGGGCAGAATTGCAGAGGGCACAGCTATCAAATGTGGGAAGTGCTGGGGTTGGCAAGCTCCAGGACCTCAAGCCTTCCTGGGTTCTCACCAGCTACCCCCATCTGACAGCTTACTGTAGGGTTGTGAGCACTTTCTTTTGCATATGGGGCCATGAACTAAAATCAACTGGGAATCTCCCGAGGCAACCCCCCCCCCAAGACAAGGATAGATTGGGTAGCTTTTTTTTTTTTTTTTTTCTTAGACAGGGTCTCATTGTGCAGTGCAGCCTGGCCTTGAGTTCACTAGGTAGCCCAGACTGGCCTTGAACTCACAGAGATCCTCCTGCCTCAGCCTCCTAAGTGCTGGGATTACAGGCATTCACCACCAGGCCCCAGCAGATAGTATTTTTCACTTACAAAGTAGTAGAAGGCATCAGGGTTGTCCAGGAAAGGGTTCTCAGCAGTTCCATCTGCTGCAGTCTTGGAGAGATCTCCAGCAGGCTGCAGGTATCCTTCGCTGAGCAGTGAAGAGGCAATCATGAGGCCCTCCTGGCGATTCCGCACTGAATTGTTGCACACCAGCCAGTCAACAACACAGCTACCTGCATGGGACCACCAGAAAAAAAGGTGAACTCTTCTCAGGGAACAAGCTGCTCACCTGCACTGGCTACAGAGCACCTGTCCCATTTTCCCTATTATTCCAAGAAGGAAAAATCATGAGACAGATGCCTGGAAACTAAGGGAGCCATGTAAAGGGATTTGGGAAACTTTTACACGCTGCTTGATTAAGAAATCATTGTTACCAACTCATTTAGTTAATTAGGGAGCATTTTTGCAGCACCTGGTAGGCAACAGGCACTCGAGAGTACTGGCAGATTCACTCAGGGAATCTTAAGGAGAAAATTGGGTGCTGGGTGAGCACAGCGATAATCACTGTGGCACAAGTCAATATCGTACAACTCTGGGGCCAAATCTGAAGATGCAGAAGGGGGAGAAGGAAGAGGAGGGAACGACTGGTCTCTATTGGGAAAAACATTTATAAAGCAAGTTGCACTGGGCTGAGATCTGAGAGAAAAGTAGGTGTTGGCGAGCACGTGAAGGAGAGCCCGAGAGCATCCAGCCCAGGTGAGGAGACAGCTGCGTGAACAGATGGGGGTGGTGGGCAACGGCCCAGGGGGGCCCCCCCAGGTGGTTAAAAGGAGGCGAAAGGAGACAGAGGAGGAGGAAGACGCAGAGGAGGCGGGGAGAGCTGTGAAGGCACATTCACAGGATTTCAAGCAGCACATAACATGATGGGTTGTGTGTCCTGAAATAAACTATGATGATGTGATTAGTGCAGTCACAGCTCACTAGGAGCCTCGAGACATTATCTTAAACTTCCGCCTCAGGAGAGAGCAAAGATGACAAAACGAGACTGGCCCATCTCCTGGTTTGTGAGCAGGCTACACTGAAGCTTCGTAAAAGTGTATCCTTGCAAATGCACAATGACAGAGCCGGCCTGGGTCACCCAGGTCAGAGCACCGGAAGGAAACAAGATGCCTCCCTGACGCCTCTATGGCTCACAGGCTGCTGCCCAAGCACTCCGAGGCTCATCCTGACAGGGCGGTGCCCTGTTACAGCACAGCACCAGTCTTCTTTCTTTCTCCATACAGAAAAACTCATCAGCGTCACATTCCTGTTTCCGATCTCTTGCAGATGCCCCTTGGGTCAGACAGGGCAGTAAGCATGCACTGAACTCACAAGGTGAAAGGATTAAGACTCAGAGCTCAAATGACTTAGACTGAGTTGCCTATGCCAGCCTTTCACACGTGCGTGTTCCCAGTCTTGAATCTGTGCCTGTTCAGCTGGGCATGCTGCAGCTTGCTAGGCAACCTCCACCAGTCTCCTGACACCCGATTTTTTAGGTCCTCTATCACACATCAGCACTGCCCAGATCTCAAGCCTCTACCTTAGGCCTTCAGCCCAAGCTACCTCCCTCCATGAAAGATCCACCCAAGGACTCCCAATGGAAGGGACTCACAAAGTGCTAGCTTAGTACCCTGGGACTCGGGAACGTGGTACCCAGGAAGTCAGCCTGGGCCAGGTTTATTTCCTGATCCACACTGGAAGGTCTTCCTTTCCCTTTGCTGTAGGCCGGTATGGTTCCCTCAGCTGGGGCTTTGCCTTGCTCTTGTCAGTTTCCCTCACCACTAACCATGGCTTGGTGTCTTGATCCCAGAACTCAGCCCTGACACCTCTACAGCTCACAGGCTGCTGCCCAAGCACTCCGAGGCTCATGCTGACAGGGTGTTGCCCTGTTACAGCACAGCACACCCTCTTCGCTTTTCCTCAAGTCTCACCAAGACTATTTTCATGAATTATCTGGGTGGGGTTTTTTGGGAGGGGGTACTGGGAATCAAACTCAGGACCTCACGGCGGACATGCTGCAAATGTCACCCTGTTACAGACAGGAAATGGAAAGCACAGAGAGGCTAAATTATTAGCCCAAGGTTTTACAGCTGCAAGTTGCAGAACCAGGATTTGAACCAAAGTAGTCTGGCTCCAAGAACATGTTTTAACCACTACACCACACTACCTAAGTCTGTAGCATCTTACGTCTTGCAGTGGGCAACCCATATTCCCTAATATCATCATTTGAATTTTATACTATATGTCTTTTCCCTGCTTATCACTGTTAGGTATGCATTCTACCCCGCTCTATGTCTATTCCTGACAACTCTCAAAATAATGCCACATATTGGGTTTACAAGTTCCTTCGGCTGATTTAGCTGAAACTTCCAAAATGTTATCTTGAATCATAGAGTTTTTTCTATCCTGATTTCTGTTTCCACTCCCGGGAAACTCAGTTCTCGGGCTCAGCAACCTGCATGCCATGACCCCACCCATCCACCAGGCTCCACCCCCCAACACCTCCTGCACACTGCTAACAGAGAGCTCCACACTCCCTCCCCAGTCACCCCCTCCAGGCACACAAGTCCTTTTACCTGTGAAGCAGTGGTTAAAAATCTTCTTGTCCTTCTCTATGTTCAATTCTTTCACTCCTTTTTCAGTGTCTTTCATGGACAAATACAAGGCACTGCACAGAGATCAAATCAGGTAGGTAAGTGGGGAGTCCAGAGTGGTGAGTTCTCTGTAGGAGGCGACGCCTTACACAGCATGGCCTGGAGCCCCAGCTTCCCTCCTCTCACCTTTGTGCAGCTCCTAAGCCTAATCTCTCCATCATGCCCTAAGTAGCTAAAGTGCAACATCGACATTTGTGTAATTCTGTGGCAGCCGAGCACTAGCAAAATGTAGCAGAAAGTTATTCAGTGTCTCTTAAATTCATTCAGCTCTTTGGGGTTTTTTTGTTTGTTTGTTTGTTTGTTTTTTGGTTTTTTTTTTTCTTTTTTTTTTTTTGGTTGTTTTTTGTTTGTTTTGTTTTTTGGTAGTACTGAGGAATTGAACTCAGGACCTTGCACTTGCCAGGCAAGCGCTTATTCTACTGAGCTATCTCCCCGGCCCTCATTAAGCTCTTTGTTGATTTCACTTGTGGCGCCTGAGATAGAGCACTGCCCTGAGTTAGGTGCCAGAAATTAAAGTTTCTCAGGGCCAATTTTGTAGATACATCCTAGATCTCTGAGGTCTCTGCTACAGTTCAGGTCAGGAATGTCTCCCAAAGGGCTATGTATTAAAGGCTTAGTCCCCAGATTGTTGCTACCCAGAAGTAGTAGAAGCTTCAAGAGGTGGGATCCAGCCAGAAGCCTGGTCACTGGGGGTGAAGGGACCTGCAGTACCCTGGACTCTCTCTGTCATGTTCTAGCCATGAAGTGAGCTGTTCTGCTATGCCGTGAGCCCCTGCCGTGATGCTCTGCCGGTCCAGCCCCCAGAAGCCCAAAAGCAAAGGGCCCAACTGACCATGGACTGAAACCTCCAAAATCATGAACCAAAATAAACCTTTCCTTTGCATAAATTGCTACCTCAGGTATTTGTCACAGTGACAGAAGGTAGATTAACACAGTCCCTCAATTCTTTAAAGATCTTCAAGAGACCATCTGCTGTAAACATTTGCTTCCAAGAAAGTATTTCCTGAAAGCTCATTTTTATCTTTAAAATGATGAAAGAAGGCAAAATATTGTCATGTTGTCCTTTTGTCTCATTTTTGTCCTTTGGGAGAAATTCTAAGGCACAAAACAGAAGGCCACTTTCCTGTATCCTGTGGCCCCACATAGTCTGAGCGTCATCGTCATTTAGCTGTGACAGCTCTGGCCAGGAGCATGATGACTCGATGAACCCCATGAGCAGCTGTAGCTAGGCCAGGTATCTTCTCTTGGGTCTTTACCAAAAAGCTTTACCACTAAGCTCAACATACACACTTTACTCCTGCAGCAGCCCATATCTGGTCTGAATCCTGCAGGTGTCTCTAGTCCCTTCTCAGGGACTCTTACCCTCCCAACCACATGCAAACAGAATTCCTATTGAATATTTTAAACATCCAGCCTGGATTTTTTTTTCTTTTCTCTCTACAGATTCTGAAGCTTGCTTGCTTGCTGGCTGGCTGGCTTGCCTAACAGGATCTTTTATGTAGTTTAGGTTGGCCTTGAGATCATGGTAATGGTCCTGACTCAGCCTCCCAGCTGCTAGAACCCTAAGTATGCACCACAGGGAATTAGACTCCTTACTTCTTAGCTCCTAGGGCTTGGAGGGCCATTATCTGTCCATCCCAGAGAAACATCTTAGTTCACCAAGTGCCCATATCAACCCAACAGAGGGAACACAAACTTCCAGAAGTGGCTAAAACAAACCTTGCAGCCGAATCTGTTGTGTTCTTCCCTTTCAGCAGGAACAAGGGTAAAAAGTGAAGGGGTGGAAAGAACCAACAATTACCCTAAATCAACAGTTTCTGGCAGTCGAATGGACCTCCTCGTGGATTTCCTGGAAAACTTCTGGCCTCCATCAAGGCATTTGATGGCCTTCTTGATGTCCCGAACCCAAGCATCTCGTTCTTCCAGGTAAGCTGCCTGGAAGTACTGGTCCTGCTGTTTGGGGCTGGTGATCTTAAACACGAACTGAAAATCCAAACACATCCTATTAGAAATGACCATTCCAAAGGGGATGGCCCTTCACCAACCAGAACACTGGCCTCAAACCTGTTCCAACAAAAAGAAATGTAAACATCAGAATGTTTGGTGGTGCTAAGAGGGGCTCCTCCCAGGAACACTGCTTCATTGCAGGCCACGAGTGTGCTAAAGGCTCAGGTTGTAACAGGAGGTTCACTGAGGCCAGTGACGTCAACTCACCATCCTTTTGCTAAAGTCTTGACAAGGGCTAGTCACAGTACTTCCTTTCAGGGGGATCATTCCTTTGGGGCTGTTGTCACTTTTCTTCTTATAGAATTCAATGCCGTCTTCTAACAGTGCCACCCACATGGGTTTCCAGTTGTTAAACACATTCCCCTGTAAGGACAACAAGAATAGCTGAGATGGTTGGGGGTTTTTCTAAGCTGTATTTTCTTCCTAGCAGGAGATAGTCTCTAATACAGTCATGTCGAACCTTTCAGAGCTTTCAGTGTGAACAGCCTGCTACAGCACATGTGCCACAGGTTCACCACCACTGGGTTGTCTTAGAGTTGGCTTTAAAAACATTTTGTGGCAAGCTGGGTATAATGAGGCATGCCTGTAATCTCCGCACTTGGTAGCTGAGGCAGGAGGATTGCAAGTTCGAGGCTAGCATGACCTACGGATTAACACCTTGTCCACCCACAAAAATACCAACAAAACCATAATAAAGTTTTGCAATATCCTCTCTGTTGTTCAAACACAAATCCTCTTAAATCAATGGCTTCATGAAATATCATTTTGATTTCTATCCCTGGTCTTTTGCATCCCATTAGAAATGACCGTTAGAATAGACACCATTCTCTGGAATGCCCTATCCCAAATCCATCTCCTCACTCTTTCCTGACTAATGTCTGTCCTTCTTAAAAGCTCAGTGTAGCTGCCTCATTCATGAAGCCATCCCCAAATGCATCCACCCACCTTGCTCTTAGGGTCACTTCCTGCTGTTCTGACTGACAGGGCCACACATTCTGGAACTAATGTGCTGCCTTATATAGTCATGTACATGTCTTTCAGTGTGGTTGTCCTCTCTCCTCTACAGCACTGACATCATTAAGTCCTTCATAGGCTCATGATACCGAGGGCAGTGAGTATTCACTAAAACAGTGCCTACGAAGATTGTTGCCCAAATTGTGGGACGTTAGCATGTATCACACTTTACTGAGAAGAGCGACCAGTGCTTTCCATTGGTTACTTCCTCCGTGCCTAGACCCTTTCCTGCCATCATTTCCTCACCCCTCCCTTTTCATGCTCTGCACCACCAAGCAGCACCTTCTCACCCCACTGCTATGTGCCAGAACCAGCATCAAACTTTGCTTCTGTAACTAGCTCCTACCCGGGAGCCTCTAGTTCATATCTCTTTGCACTCGTGTTTTTAGTTTTTAACTTCCTATTTTGAAGAGAGGAAAAAATAGAGCAATGACCATTGTTCTCATTTTATTGGAAAGGTGTGTGTGTGTGTGTGTGTGTGTGTGTGTGTGTGTGTGCTAGAAAATCTTGATGAAAGGGGTATTTGTCAGAATTAAAGAAAAAATTTAATGCTCTGAAATTAGTGTGGAAAGTTACTTTCCTAGTGCTTTTCAAGTTATGGTTCATAGTGCTCGCTTCAGCAGCATTTACACAAATTATGGTTTGTAGACCACCTTGTCTGACTCACCAAAGATGGGTATAAATAAGATCTGGTCACACCACAACTCTGCTTTTACTTGTAAGTGCCCCAGACATGTTGTGAGGCAGCTGAGTCTTAGAGCTCAGAGTCCTAGAGAAGCTGGCTGAGCTAATTCAGCCTCCACAGCTTCCCTTCCTCTCAGATGGGCAAGGCCTGTAGCCTTTCCTAACTTCTGCTCCCCACCCTAAAAATAACTACTCCACAGGCTTCTTACACATGTTAATTGAAATAATGGGAACAGGGCTTTTAAGCCCTGAGATTGTGTTATTAAATATAAAAGATGGCCACATTTGAATGTCTTCAATGCTTTAGGTTTCTAACACAATACTGTTGCTCTTTCGTTCTCCCTCAAATTCCTGGAAAATGTCAATAAACCAGTATTACCACCACTGTGTTAATGAGGAAGACATTCAAGAGTATTAGCCAGTTGCACTGCCCAGTAACAAATGGGAAAGCTGGGGGCTCCGACAAACGTGTATGAGCAAACAAGAGATCTGTCTTTAGTTTCTCTTCAGTGCAGAGAGGTTCAGGGGTCACTCTTAGACCTGCACTCTTAGACCTACCATTGTACGGCCAGTTTGCATTTAGAAGGTGTGATGACTTGGAGACGGACCTTAAACCTGCCCTACATTTGAGCCTAATGTTGACTACTTAGCAGCTTATATATTCTGGGGGAAACTTTTTTTAAAAAAAAAACAGGGTCTCACTACATGGTTCAGGCTGAACTTGAACTCACCATATAGCCCAGGCTGGCCTCAAATTCATGATAATCCTCCTACCTCAGTTTTCTATTAGGAGTACTAGAACCCACCACTGCACCTGGAAAAAATGTTTCGTTTCCTTTTTTTTTTTTTTTTTTTAATGCGTTTGGTACACGGTCTCACAAGGCAGCTCAGACTCATAGTGATCCTCTTGTATTCAGCCTCCGCAGCGTTGGGATTATAGGCGTGCGCCAGCTCACATTCTCAGTGGTGGCTCACACATCCTGAGGCAGGGCCAGCACAGCATGTGGTGCCAGGGATCAAACCCTGGCCCCTGCGCTTTTCTAAATAGGTGCTTAGTCTGCTGAGTTATCTTGCCAATCCTAAAATGTTTAATTTCTGAACCAGTTATTTTCTTTTTATTAATAGGGAGATAATTCTATCTTTCAGTAAATTAGCAAGTATCACTCTGATAGAATGGATAAAATATGCATACATGTATATGATGCGTACTTATACATATACAACGTATACATACATTATGCACATATATTATGCATATATATATTTTAACATGCAAACTGTATAAAAACATTCTGTTAGTGATAAGTTGGCACCAAACTGTGTGTTTCTGGAGGGAAGAAACCTACTACACAACGATGTTGCCAAGTTTTTAATAAATAATTTATAGTATAAATGATTGTAATTTAAAAATACATTATGAAATGATGAATAAGGAGTAGTAAATGGGGATGATAGAAAGAAATGATTACTGTAAGAGTAGAAAAAAGTGATTGTACAACCATGTTTTCTGAAATTATTCTCAGATATTTAAGACTCAACAGACAGCACAGTCTTGGTCCTTGTGGAAAGAGGTGACCCACACTTGTAAGCTCAAGCTGCTCAGGAAAGCAGCTTCACAGGAGATGAGGGGTTTTTGCTGGATTTGTTTTTAAATTAAGATATAACGCATTGGGCCAGGGAGATGTCTCAGTAGAATAAGCGCTTCCCTGGCAAGCATAAGGGTCTGAGTTCAAATCCCTGGTTCCACAAAAAAAAAAAAAAAAAAGATACAATGTATTCACATCTGTAGTCAGCCCATAGACTCACAGGGTCATTACCAAAGGAATAAAATATAGACCTATTCTCTGCTTCACGTGTGAAAACTGATCTCCTATAGGTTAGTTCATGCTTCCATGCCTGTCCGCTGTGTTCAGTTCACTCAGGGTTGAATAGACGGTATCCCAAACGGCAAATCAAACTGTGTAACAGTGAATTCTCAAACCTGGGAAAACTGAGAAAGTGTCCTAATCCCATTGTTGTGTCCCCTGGGGGCACAGAGGCCACACTGGCAGTGCGTGCCCACAGGTCCTTCCACCCCACAGTCCAGTGAGATGTTCTCTGAATATGGATGTCCAGAAGAACCCAGCCATGTGCGGGCAGTGACTTGTACCGATAATCCCAGCTACTTGGAAGTCTGAGGGAGGAGGATCACAAGTTCAAGGCCACTCTGGGCAATTTAGCAGGACCTTATTTAAACATTAAAAGGGTTGGAGATGTGCCCCAATAGCAGAGAACCTCTGAGCCTATCCCAAGTACAAAAGGAGGAGGGGAAGAGAGGAATGAAAAAGAAGGAGAAGGCAGAGGAGCAGAAGGAGAAAGAGGAGGGAGAGAAAATGGAAAAGGAAGAAGGAGAAGAAAAAAGAAAGGAAGAAACCCAGACAACAGTCTCATATGCTGGTGTGGCTAAATTGTGTGAAAAACACTGACCAAGCAGCCTGTAGTGCAAAGACCCTACCCACATCAATGGGGCTCTTGGGGAAAATCATTACTGTACTTAAAACATTTTCAATTTGGAGTAATGCCAAATGCCCCTTTAGTACTAAATTATCCATTCTAACTAAATGAAGGAATTCTCCTTTATGGTCTATATTTCAGGGCAGTTTTGGAAAAGGAAGAATGTAAAATTCTTTGCCCTGTCATGACTACCACAAAAGAGAATTATCACTCAGCTTCCAGCAGACCCTGCTGCTTATCTCAAAATACAAAGGGCCTCTAAATAAAGGCCCAGCTGTCCGAAAGGAAGACTATTTATGCAAAGAAGATAAATGGGACTATCATTTTGCTCTCATCTAGACATTTCCTTTATTTAGGTCCTCAAAGACATTTTTTTTCAACTAAAACACAGTGCCTTTTTTAATCTGTCTGGACAGAAAGCTAATTCAGTTGTAACTGGATTATTTGCCTTTTCAAAAATAGACACTATGTCAAAATACAGAATCATTGTAATCAAATTTCTTCCTGTTCCTGAAAGAGGTTCATACCCAGAATATAAAGAACTTCTGCAAATCAGTAAGAAAAGTACAAAAATATTCCATTTAAAATGGCAAAAAAGTATTACATAGGCATGTCACAAAGAAGGTATCCAAAAGCTAATAAAGTGTTACAATACCAACTCTCATATCAAGGAAAGACAGATTCAAATAACAATGTGATACTTCTGCAAGCAAATACCTCACATTTATAAAGTTTAGGAAGAACAAGACTCAGCGAGGAGGTAGAATAACAGGAGCCCCTGGGCATGGCTGATAGAAGTGTAAGATGTTGTATCCTACTTGGAAGAGTGCTCAGCAGTTGTACTGAAGCTAGACACACAAAAGCTCTTCACACCAACACTTTCACACGGGGACATTCACCTGGGAGAAGTGAACGTGTGTCCCAGAACAGGTTACCTACACCACTGTTCATAGAACCTCTGTTCATAGTAACCAAAAGCGCAAAACGCATCACATGCCTATCAACAGGAAATGAATAAGTTGCATGACGCAATGCCTAAACACGTACTGCAACAGTAAATTCATACAACAGAATACAAGTCAGCAGTTTAATGAACCACTGCTTCTTGTAACGCCCTAGATAAATTTCACTGTTGAGTGAAAAAAAGGCTTTAAATATACTTATGAATGTGA